TGCTTGCTGAAGGGAGAAAATTTAATTTTAAGACCAATTAACTTTGCTGATTACTATGTAATTTGAAGTGAGTCATGATTCTTTAGTAAATGGAGGTGAGAATCTCAACGATTAAAAGAAAAACAAAACAAAAAACCTGTTAAAAATAACAGCAAACCATTGTTCAGAAGTCAACCTAATGCCCACTCTTTACCTTCCACTGTTTTAGGATAAGAGAAAAACATGAGGTTTGTGGTATCCACTGTTAAACAGAACCAGTCAATATGAAACGAAGTTCTCATGTTACGACATTCTGTATTATGAGATGTCCAGAACCGTTCCCAAACTTTTGTTTGACCTGCAGAATTGGATGGCTTACCTCCCTATAACTTCAAGTTTGTTTTACAAAGCTCTGAAAAGTAAAACAGATAATTTCATTTTTAGATATAATAAAAAATTAATCTGAATAGCAAAATAAGTAACTACTTTTCAATGTACAGTAGTGTGTCCATTCTAAAAACGAAACCTAAATGTTAGGGCAACTTTTCAAATAATACTTTTTATTATATTCTCCAGTAGTAGTTGAAATAAAAATCTACTCTAACTTCTAGGAAAAGATCTATTTATATCACTTAATTTTCTTTTCTCTGATTCTACGTTTCACTTTGCAATCTGCAGACCTTCACGTGGTTTCCCAGCTGGGGAACCATAGCCCCCTCATCAGTATTTGAGAAGTTGCGCAGAGTGGGACCCACAAACACATGGCTCCACTGGTTAAGTACTGCTGTCACTGTGTGGCTACGTTTTAATACTGTTACTCCAATTCACACGATGACTCTTCCGTGAGGATGGTAGGATGAACCTGGTTAGCTAGCTTTAGATGAGGACGTCGAGACCCTGCAATAAAAGGTGATCAACTCTAGGATAAAAATTAGAAAAAAGTTCTTTCCTAGCTATGAATCGTCACAAGCCCCTCTCCTAATAATCACAGGCCAGGGGAAGTGAGTGGGAGCAAGGAGGGTACACAGGAGACAGCTGAGACAGGAATACTGCAAAATGCTTCTCAAGCCTTCCTGCAATCCCAGGGACTGGATGCCTGTGTGTCTGTTTTCCAGGAAGAGCCCATCCTGGTGTTTTCCTATCCCAAGTTTTCTAAACACAGAAATTTAAGAGTTAGTGGAGGAAACAGGACTACGCTTCACACCATTGGGTCAAGGTAAGTGGTTCCACTGGCCCTCCCAGGACATGCCCTCTTCTTGATTGATGGGGGCAGACCTTCTTTCTCCCCCGACAAGCTCAGAGAACCCATTCTCCTTGCTTGAAATGGTGATCTGGCAGCTAAGCGGTCAACTTCCTGGCTTTGAAGAGAACACTCTCAGGAAGCTGCAGATGTTTCTAGAACTGTTCCATTTTACTGCCCTAGTCGCCTGTCTCCTAGCAATTCCACTTATCTCCTAAGCTCTTGACTTGATAAGCACCAAACTATGAAGGTTTTTTTCTCGTTTTCCCCTTCCTCAGTTCTGTGAACTGACTTTTTTGTCTATGACCACATCAACTTCTACACCACTCCAAAACTTTGCTCTTTTGGAGTGATGTGTTCTGTCAAATAGATTAAAATAAAAATACATTATCTGTTTACAGGGAATATACAGAATAACAGGGGCTGGAGGTACAAAACACAGACACTGACATTATGGTCATACAAAATATATAGAAGTACCCAACATTAACAATTTTTGTCAGAAGTTGTACATTTTGCTATTTCTTTAGCATTTCCCCACATTTTTTTTTTCTTCTTCTGTGGATCCTCTGGAGTTAAGATTGAGCTTCCTCTGCAGTGTTTCTGAAATTCAGTACGTGATTGGAACATACTGACGGAATTCATTTTCTGTCCATAGCAATGAGTGCTACACATGAAAGTTTTCCTCAAATTTAATATTAATGTTTATTTACAGTGTGAGCTTTCTGATGCTAAGGGCTGAGATGTGATTAAAGGCTTTGCCATATTTATCACATTCAAGAGGTTCCTTCCTGGGATGACTTCTCCGACGCCAGGTAAGATGTGAATTGTCTTAGGTATCAAACGTGTCAACCTCTCTGTACTTACTTAGCACAGTTTCACTTTTATGCCTTTAATAAAATACTAAGTGCCTTCCATATCAAGATGCCTCATACGTCTGTAGTCTTAGGCTTTAGCCTTGCCTGCCAGGAAGAAGTAGAAACAAAGGCCCCACAACTTTAAGACTTTTACTTCTCTTCCTGGCAAGGTTAAGGTATATTTTTAAAAACCCCTCAAAAACTTCCACTGGGTCAACTAGCATGCTAACAGTTAACTAGAGTACTTAAACTGTTAACATACTTCAGCCAGTCGAGAACTTTCAAATGACTATCCTGAGCACTAATTTAGATGTCGTAAGCCTTTTGGGCCATGACTCTATTACATTTTGCGCTGAAGAGCTGATAAATGAATGCAATGCAGATGGTTTTAATAAACAGTGGTAGTCGGTTTTCTTCAGAAAACTTGTCTTCAAATAGCTGCTTCAAGGAGACCATCTGCTGAAGATCTGGAGCAACGCCCATGGCCATCCCACAGTCAGTACAATGTCCCAGGAAATGGGAATTAAATGTGGGGCACAGGTTATAGTTAACTTCCATTAAAAAGAAATGATGGCTGAATCATGTCCGCATAAAGAAGCCAATGTGGGTGGACCTGACCAGTGTTCTTTCCCTCTTCACAACAGTCGGTGCTTCGATCGGTGTCTGGAGTTAAGCACCTCACTGCTTTCAGTTGCTTCCTGGCAGCAAAAGTCTTTGCTCAAAAGCATCAGCAGTTTTCTATGCGACCACCACTATGTCTCACTCTTTGAAGAAAATTCCTAAAAGCATTTCTTCTACCTTCCCTTACTATAAAGTTACTTAGGTGTGCTCTTCTGGAGTCTCTCTCCTGTTTTTCTTAAATTGGATGGATAGAACACTCTGGTCACCAGCTGACTTCCTTAAAGTTCCCCCAGGCAACACTGATGCAACTGCTTAGGAGCTACTGGGAAGCTGGAAGTTGCTCCAAGTTATAGAGAGAGGCCAGAGAAAAAGTGCTGTTTGGCCCAAAGCTGAGGCCACAGCTGCCCCCACCTCCATGGTTCCCCGTGAAGTGACACCATCTCACAGGCTTGGGTTGCTGGCTAGCAAACCAGTGACGAGTGACAGTTTTAGTTCTTGACGGAAAATCTCAAACTCTATGTGAGGGGTCTCCCATTATGGGGCTAGTCTTCAGGTGTGTTCTTAGTCTGTTTCTAAGTCCCTGCAGGGCTGTCTACAATCATTTGTGCGCTCTCACGAGCAGTTACCTCTACCCAGGGCCCTGATGACTTCCTATGTGACCCACGCTGCTTGGGTCTCTTGTGTGTGCATCTGAAAATGGTCTGTCGCTGGCTTCCACGCAGAAGCTAATGCATCCTTCTGCATAGATGATGGGAAAGATCAAAGTTTCATAACCTCACCTCAGTCTCTAGTGATGAGAAACAGAAAAGACATTGTGCGGTATGACTACAATACGACCAGCCACATCTTAGCACGCTGGTGAGCTTCTCAGAGCAACAGACACGTTTAGTAATTGCCAGCTAACGATCTCAAATGTCTTTTCCAAGTTTCTGGAAGGTGTGGGGAAAAAAATGCTCCCTCCAATGTTCCTTTTTCTGAAAAGCAACAGAAATCACATCTTTTGAACTTTAAAGTTACAAATGATTCAGAAAGTGCCCAAATCATCATGTTGTTCAGCAGCTAACTGAAGAAATTCTGGTTAAGATCTTTGCCATCTTTGCCTTAGTAAGTGTTCACATTGTTAAGATGACGGATGACAACAAAGTCGTTTGACATTTCATGGTATTTACTCTCTGATCCGTGTCTAGATAGTCTATGCTGGCGGCTGACCAGCACCCTTCGTTTATATTTAGGACAAAAATAGCATGCGCCCCTAGAGCTTTAGCCACGCCTCGGGCTCACAAGCCGGGCCACGCTACCGTATTTCAGGTACTTGTGACTCACAGGCCTTGTCGTGAATGTACAAATCCTGCTAGAAGTCAGGCCTAATGAGCACTTCTCATGTGGTCAGCACTGTGTCCAGGGCTGTCGGGGATATAAATATATCCCCCGACAAGAGAAGCATCTCTTTTGGGGAGTGATGAAAACTTTCACACACGGAACAACAAAAGATTCAAAGACAGTACGCAATCAAGTGCTAACCTGTGGAGAAACGCAGTTAGGAGTGCGATAGTGCTTTAGGGAATTCGGGGATTTCGCAAAGGGAGAGAAGTGTTTTGAATCACGGTTGCCATTTCAGTAAGATTTATCTCAGTCATGAGGAGGGAAACCATCTACATCTGCAGCCGTCCTTTGGAACTGTAGACTGGTGCGCATGCCCTCTCTTTCAGGAAGAGATAGAAATCTTTGGTTTGATACTGACAGCGCAGTCCTAGATTTCTATAGCTTTGGTAGGCTACCAGCGACTGTATAGAACTTACCGTATATATACAACTAGTTTGAGCAGCATGTGCCGATGTAGTTTTTGTTCAAAGTGTCCCTCTTTTTTGAGAAATAAGGTTCAGCAAGACGTTGGCCAAGTAGGGCGTTTGCAGCAAGCAGGTTTTGAACCCCAGTGTCATTTTCACAGAGCCTATCTTAGTCTTTCAATTATGTACTGTGGTTGCAGAGAGTTCAAGAGCGCCTTAAAGATCTCCTCATTACTGAAAAGCTTGACATTTTCCTGTGTGTGTGCTTCTATCCTGTGTGGAAATAGCATGTGGATTATCCATCCCTATGACTAGCATTTCCCTGCAGGGGCTGTGGAAGAATTACATGCCCACACACTAGGCAAAGGCAGAACACTGCTGACGTACCTGTAAGGATCCATAAGTGTGATTTGTTTTTTAACCTGTTGAGGCTTTTTTCTTCCCCTCCATGGGCACACATCTCTGAAATAATTTTAGAAACAAAAAGGGGAAATGGCTTGTTGACAAATTCTCGCTTTACACACAGCTTTTCAGGAATGCTCCGAAAGCATCGAGGGAGGCGGGGCTGTACTCAGAGGCTCGCTCTCTGGTGTGGATTCTGTGATGCAGAGTGAGGGTCGAGCTCCGGGTGAAGGCCTTGCCGCACTTTGTGCACTTATAGGGCTTTTCTCGGGTGTGAATTCTCCGATGCAATATAAGGTATGAGTTTCGGTTGAAAGCTTTTCCACATTCACTACATTCATAGGGCTTTTCCCCCGTGTGGATTCTCTGATGCTTAGTGAGGTCTGAGCTCTGGCTGAAGGCCTTCCCACACTCGTTACATTCGTAGGGTTTCTCCCCAGAGTGGATCCGCTGATGCAGAATGAGATTTGAACTGTGACTGAAGGCTTTGCCACACTCGTTACATTCATGAGGCTTCTCTCCTGTGTGGATTCGCTGATGCAGGACAAGGTTTGAGTTAAGACTGAAGGCTTTCCCACACTCACTACATTCATAGGGCTTTTCTCCGGTGTGTATTATTTTATGGCGAATAAGGCTTGAGCTCCTTGTGAAGCATTTACCACATTCATCACATCTGTGGGACTTCGCTCCTGTCGGAACTTCTTCAGGGGTGTTGAAGTTTGAGCTCAGACTGAAACTTCTCCCCAGTCCTTTACCCTTTTCCCTTGGACCTCGCTCTCCTGTACTGGGGTTTTTTTTTTCCTTGACTGTAGCTGGCCCTGGATCTCTCTTTTCTTTTCCAGTTTTCTCCTCAGGGTTTCTCTGCTGCCTTTCTACTACTCTGCCCTGCTGGTCACGTTTTTCTCCAAAATCTTTTTGGAATTTTCCTGTGGTCTCCCCATGTGATGCTGAGTCTTCTGCAATTTCAGCCTTTGAGGTGGACTCCTCATTCTCATTCCTGTTTTCACAACCTGACACAATAAATAAAAAATACAAATAGCATCTTTTTCTTTTGAATATGTGGGTTACTCAAGTGACACTGTTTTCCAGGAAGCTTCTACCTGCCTGCAAAATGACCTCACAATATTAACTGGAAATAAAATAGTAGAAAAACAAGGGAAAAAACCTAGGGACAACAGGGAGTAGAACTGGGAAATAAGAGGGCAGGCGAAGCGTGGAAAGGACAATGGAGGGAGCGTGCAGAGAGGCCGGGAGCGAGCAGAGGGAACAGACCAGGCGAGGAAAGAAGGAAGGGGTGAGGAATTAAGGAACATAAGAGGTCACAACTCATGGTTCTATAATTTGGTCACCCGGTAATTAATCTGAAAGAATAAATACACATTAAAAAAATCATGGTCCAGGGACTTCCCTGGTGGCCCAGTGGTTAAGACCCCGTGCTTCCAAAGCAGGGGGGGCGGCTTCGATCCCTGGTTGGGGAACTAAGAGCCCACCTGCTGTGAGGCTAAAAAAAAAATTAAAAAAAAAAATCATGTTCCAGTTCTAATTAAGAATTTATGAGTTAAAAAAAAAGAGAGAATGGACAGGTCTTTCCTAGAAAATTATAAGTGGTATTACCAGAAAGAAAGGAATGCAATTAATTTAAAAAAAGCAAATACTCTGCCAATTTTGTGAGATTTTTATTGACAAGGTGATGGTTAACATGCAAAACAAGGAGCGCTGAACCTGGCAGGTTACGCAGACCTTCAGACACAGAAGCTAGTTTCTCTCCACCAGGGAGAGCAGCAGAGAGCTGACAGTGCTCAAGCAACAGGGACGAGGGTGAAGAAGCTGGTTGGGGCATTAGTACATGTAACTGAAACCTGCACTGACAAACAACTGAGAACTACTGAGAACAAAGAGACTGAAAACAATTCCGGAGACAGCCCACAAAGAACGTAATATAAGACAAGATCTTACAAATGCAGAGCTGATCCTCTGATTTTAGCAATCTGCCTGTTAAAACACTGGAATATATTCTTATTGTGGACTGCTACATTCTGTGTGCCACCCTGTTTTTTAAATATAGTCTAAAAATTGTTCAGTACAAAAACACTATTTTATATATGTTTACATTTGTCTAGGAAAAAAACAAACTATCCCAAATCTATTCTTTATTTACTTGACTTTAAGAAACCTTTCCACATGAGTGTGCACTATCTCAACGCAATCACTGAAGGAGTTGAGTATCTAACCCGACTTGAGTGATGAAATCACCATAAATACTGACCTGATCATAAGGAAGAGGAAACTGGTCTACTTCTTTTGAATTCCAAGCCTAGGTCCTTGATGATCTGGATAGTTCCCCGGCTGTTCCCAATGTTTTGTTTTGTTTTAAGTTAGCAAGGGGTGGGTACTACCCGGCTCACAAACAGAGATCAGTTTTTTGGCTTAATTTTCACCTCGTCCAAAGAGCAAGTACTAAGAAACAACAAACCCCAGTTATTCCTATGGTTCAAAACAAAACTTGAGGTTTCTGTAATAACATCCTTTCTTCATAACTTCCCTTCATTCACCCTACCACTGCCCATCCCAGGCAGAAGTCTTAGGAAGTGGCCTTCCCTATGACAGGACTGATCTGAGAGCTTCCTGCAGTACTGTCTCCCAGGGGTTAAGACCTAATAGAGACAAATGGGACTGTTAGTCAACTGTGTCACTTTGTCTTATCTGGTTGATGCCTCTTAGAACTTCTTTGTTCTTACTACACACTCAGGAGCCAGAGCTCTTCACAGAAGATCACCATTAGGTTTGGAATCTGGGAACCCTGACCATAAGGGAGGTACAGGTGCAAGTTCATGGAATTATACAGAGCTGTCGTAGAGCAGCGCTCACAGGATGCAAGACTGAAAGCCCATGGCAGGATGCAGTGTAGGTTCAGGAACATGGTCCCAGGTTAGGATTAGATTGATGATCAATTCTCACCTGGCCCTCTATAATAGGAAATACAGACACTCCCCCTGACAAAAGCACTTAGTTGTATCCACAGGGAATGAAGCAGAATCCTCAATGGTGACAGAGTAGTTGAAGAGGTGGGGATTCAGAACATAAAAGTATTTCTGCTTTCAAACAGCAAAAACTACCTAGAGGTAAAAAATCCACCTGGAATCAGGAAGTCCCAGTACCAGGCTTTTGGGATTAAAGAAACTCAAATTGTTCTCCTTCTCTATCTGGTCTGAAGAAACGGGCTCAGTAGTCTCTACCACATCAGAGATCCCAGAACTAACAGAAAAAGAGGCAATACAATCTTATCAGACAATAATCCTGCAGCCATCTTACCCTGGGAAATCACGTGCCCATAATTCTCCTGCCTGGTGTCCCTATTCAGATTCCTCCGAGCCAGGTTCTGACATCCCCATTCCTCCAGGATGAGGGACACGGCCATGTCCTCGATCTTCACCATTGCCTGAAATAACACGAGATCCCCACACTCAGTTCTCCCAAAGTCCAGGGACAGTCCCAGTGCCCGAACCTGGAGTCAGGGACGGAGGTGACTGCAAACCTACAGGATGCTGGGAAAGAAAAGGTGACCACGCCAGGCTCTAGTGGACAGGTGGGAGTGGGGCTACTCTGTGGGCAGGGACATCAAGAGCCAGTGTCCTGGTGAAGACCGCTGAAAGAGCTCCAGGAAGAGGCAGATGCGAGGGACTCAGGAGGGCAGAGGGGCCCACAGCTCACCTGGGAATCTGCCGAGAACAGTGCAGATGCCATCGCCTGGTCTCTGGGACCCCCCTCGTGATGAGGGGCAGGAACGTGGGTGGCAGGGAGAGCTGAGGGAGGAGAAAGGAGCTGTGAGTGAAGCCAGCTCTGCTCTGGGCCTCCCCTCAAAGAAGGGCCCAGGGGCACCCTCTTTCCTGTACCAGCATGCCCAATGTTCAGTGTTTAACTACAGAACTGAGAACTACAGAGAATGTAAGAAAGAAAAGGCATGATCTGTGTCTTCCTAAGACCTCTGTTCTTAAGCAGGAGTAACAAGGAGTCATAAAAGGGCCCTTAAAATCACCTGATCCAACTCCTTCATTTTAAAGAAGGGGAAACCGAGGCCCCGAGAGGGTAAACAACTTGCCTAACATCATCCTGTTAAGAGGGCAGAGCCAGAACTATAACCCGGGTTCCTACTCTCAGCCACAGAAGTAGGTAACACTCAGCCCACATTCAAGTCTGGCTCCTAATTTAATTTTCTCCAGTCCAACGAACAGTATACCAGGACTTCAGAATCCCATTCAGTTGTGGAAAATGCAACAGTTTTAAAAATCTTTAGTAGTAATATCTTGGAACACAGAGAAGGAAGGGGCTCTTCTTACTTCTGGGTAAGTTTCTGCCATTTTTTGTCCCTCTACTTTTCTCCCTCACTTAGCCACAGTTTTTGGATAAAACGCACACATGGTTCGAATGTCAATGAGACATTTACAAACATATAAAGGTCTGGGTTGACACTCATCTAATAAAAGACGTCTACAATATAGGGTCACACTAACTGCGACGTGCAAGAAAAACTGGAAAAATTTTAAACGGCAAAATCAAAATCCTCCCTTGCCAAGTAATGTTAGATTTGGAAATGTTACTGGTGAACAGATGATGTTACTGCGCTGCAAAGATACTAGAAAAACTAATTTGAAACGGAATTAGTAAATCTTGTAACTATTTCAGAATATACAGCAATAATATAAGCTAAAGCAAAATGTAGAAAAAGATCAAGTACCTAGCACTTTAACCCTCTGAGAGTTAGGAAACACTCTGGAAGATGAGCAGCACAAAGAGAAACTGAGAATAAGTGCATATGCCTCAATTCCTTCAAGAACTATTTACGATGTAACAACTGTATGTTCCAGGGTCTGGAAAGCTGTTACTCTGGTAACTGAATCAGCCCTAACCAGGCACTTAAAACCACGAAGATCCTCCTCCGTTTCCTGACTTCACCTGGTGGAGTGTGGAGAGAGCTCACAAACCCTACGAGGACCTAACGGGACTGGGTGGACAGTGGTGGATAAACATCACAGTGCACTGGTTGGCTCACAAGGCTTTCTCCAGCTTACGAGCGCTGGCTATCCTGCAGAATGCACGGAAGACAATACTTCCTTAAGCTCTAATATTCCTATCCTGAATGTCATCGTAAATAAACACACTGGTTAAGGACTGTGCCTTTGTCAACTCTTGCTGAACAACCATACTTTTACCATGTTATTTTTTTTTCTTTTACTGATATTCTAGGTATCAACTTTGATTTTAAAATTGGATAAAAATATTGTTAATATTTCCCTCAAAGGAAAAAAAATTCAACTGATTTTTATTTATATGACCCTGAAGTGATTTTTTTTGCCTCATGTTCCTCAACCAAAAACAAAATATTTTTTCCATCCTTTTCCCATTCTTTGGAATTTTTGAAAGTAACCTAGAAACAGTGATGTTACACAGTATTTTATACATTTTAAATAAAATGAATTGATAAATGATCCTTTTAAAGATAATTTACGACATACTAGGGTGTTGGCTATATCTCATCTCTTCCTAGGACTTTCCTGTAAAAAAAAAAAACCTGCTAGACATCCAGAATACTAACAATTCAACAAATAATATAATGTCCACCCAGGTTCATTATGCACATTTCACTTACCTCCTTGGTAACATTTAACTCCTGAAATTGGTCTGTAAGTTACATTTCCTCTGACATTTAGTAATAATGACAATAGAAATAAACATGCTTCTCTATTACAGGCATTTAGCAACACAGAGAGGGCACTCCCATCCTGAACAGTTTGCTTCTTTCCCCCCATGTGAAACCTTGCTTCTTACCCCGTGGTTGTAAGAGGCGGGGTTTCCGAGATGAATGCTTGAAATGGGACTGGGTGGCCTCGTGAGGAAGGTCAAAGCTCGAGGACTCCTGTACTGGATCCAGAGGCACCATCCCCCTTGTGAGCATCTCAGGTCCATGAACTTGACCTGGGACCTGAGGACAAACAGGTTGGGCTTGTGGGTAAATCACTTTTTAAACAGGAATTTAAACAAGTGAAAAAAGACAGTAAATATACCAGTGGCTGCAAGAAGGACAGGGCCAGAATACTTTTTAATATCCAAGCAGAAGAGGATCAAAGCACCACAAGGACTATTAATACGAACTTTAAGTCAGTAACTTTCTCTCTGCTTCAGTCTCAAAGTCCACGTGCTGCTCACACATGACAGGTTTCCCCTCTTCTTACCTGCTGTCCTGATAAATCCAGCTCCAGATCTTCCAGAAGGGTCACAGCCTCCTCTCCACTATCGGGACGGTATTCCTGCAGCCAGACTTGGAGCTCCTTGGGCAGAATGGAAAGGAACTGCTCCAGCACCAGCAGCTCCAGGATCTGCTCCTTGGTGTTTATCTCTGGTCGCAGCCACTGGTGACAAAGTTCCTTCAGTCGACTCAGGGCCTCTCGAGGCCCAAAAGTGTTCTGATAACAGAAGTGCCTGAACCGC